ACACACACACACACACACACACACACACACACACACTCTTATTCTTGATTCTGGGTCTCAGCAGGAGAACCGAGGGCTTTTAGGGCAGACTTTCTTTCAAAGCTTTTAGGCCTGGCATTATTTCATAAAGCTGACTTAGATCACTTCAGATCCTGGCTCAGGCAAACATTACCATGATAAACCTGTGATCTGATATGGGGGTAGGACATGAAATGAATATAGTCCCCAAGCGATGAGAAATCAATTATGCCCAAAGAAAGGCAAATCCTGTGATAGAAATGATAGCACTGCAAGGGGGTTCTTTTCTTCTAGTCTGGCATCAATGTGGAATGGAAAAATCAAAGATGTATTCCCTTGCTATGTGCGACCGCTTCAGTTGAGTCAGGCTCTGTCAGTGGGTGGAGGAAGCCTGGCTCTCAATTCCTGTTACAAAAATAATCTTTCACAGCCCTTCTTTTCCTGAGTCCAAATCTACATCCTGATTGCATCTTTAATCATGTTGCAGTTTAGACAATGGAGCAGCTCTTCTGGCTGCTGAACAAGATCCACAAGCAGGTCCTTTTCCCAACTGAAGAACATTTCATCAGGCAGGGTGAGCATTGCTTGTCTCTCCCATCTCGTGTGTGCTCTGTGGCATTCTGTGCAGGTCTTGGATGGTTCTCCAACACAGACAACACGTATGTAGATACAGACAATATATGTAAATACACACACACCCAGCCTATGCACAGCGAATGTGTCACCGGTATGATGCATGTCTGGATAGAGTTCTGCCCACCCCAAAGACACCACTGACACCATCACATCGGTTACCCTTGGATTCTGATGTCCAGGCCATGGATCCTTGAGCTAACCCGTATCTTCTAGGGCAGTGTAACTCATTGCTCCACCAGCCGAGACAGGCCCCAGGTCTGGAACCCCCATTGGATCTTCAGCCTTCACAGTTACACCTGAAGTGACGGGGGGAATGTTAAAGCAGAGGTAGTTATTTTGACAGGAAGGATACTGATTTAGTCAGAAACAGAACCCAGTATACACACCCTTCTAAGGTCGATGGCACACCCATTTCCGTATCTACCTCGAAATCAATTAATATATTCCATGACAAAGCAGTTCTTGATAGTAACATGCAGCACTGCATTACCACTGGGTGTGTGTGTGTCTTCAATTATGTAAAATCGGCAGCTACATCCAATTGAAGCATCACTCTTTTTCATGAACATAGAATGTGTTTGGGTGCATGTCAATAAGGGATGGGTAGGTTTTGATACATGGTGATTCCTGCTATTTTGCTGTCCTTGACCTTCCTGTTAATGGGACTTAGACTTATATACAGCTTTACAGTGCTTTACAGCCTTCTCTAAGCAGTTTACAGAATCAGCATATTGCCCCCCACAATCTGGGTCCTCATGTCCCCAGTAACTACTTATTTAAGATATGGGAGATTTCTTTTTTTTGGCAGATAACACACCACACCCACTGCTAATACCAGAGAATAAAACAAGCTGCACCTTGTGTAGCTGAGGTGGCAACTCATCTTCTGAGCTCTCTTCCGGGACTGGCTCTGGGTGTCGAGCAGCTTGGCCATCTTCTGCCCAGCCCCCAAGTGGCAGCCGAGCAAAGTGTGATGGAGCCCTATTCACTGGACCAGGATCTGTAGCAGGACAGAAGGAATGGAATGGAACTCATCCATTGCTTGAAGAAAGCATTGTAACTTATTAAGAAAAGAAAATAAGACTAAAAATTACAGAAAAAAATTACCTTTCAATTACAAATGCAGTAAAGGGAAACATTTGGGGAACTTTTCAAGCTTACGATGGTATCATTGTTACTCTTGGCTAGTATTCTGTACGTGATCCTGTTCACCTATAGTTCACATTTCTTAACAAGAAACAAAAGCTAAGAAGCTGACAAGGAGTCTCAGCGCAGCCTCATCTTATGATAAGGAGTGCATCTTGATGTATTTGCCATATTATTACGTCTAAAGAAGTTTTCTATAGGATTTAGCATTTAAAATAACTCCTACCCTTAGTAATCTGGGAGTAATAAAATAACAAGACCCTAATGTATAATTGATAAACAATGGAGTTAATGCAAGTCCTACTAACTGTGGTTTGCAAATCATGGTTCATTGTATCATGTGAACAATTTTCAGTGGTGGCTTATTCAAAAGCCATTTCAGCCCTACTGGCTGAAGAATGCAGGCTGACCAATGATTTACCAGACTTTATACATACCCGAGACACCACCATAACGGCGCTGGAAGCCTGCCTGTAGAGCAGATGCCTCATCACCAACTTGGCGTGGGGAGGCAAAAGGATAGCTGGCCGAGCGAGGCATGGTGCTGCTAGGGGTGTTCCTCTGGGCCTCTGGGTCTTCCTGGGCACTCTCGCCACTCTCATCACTCTCCTGCCGGTGCCACAAGTGTCGTTCAAGGTCCAACTGGGCATGCTGCTTGTGCAGCTGAGAAAATAAGTTAATAAACAATGTAGAACTGTGTTTAGTCAAGATTATTGAAAGGCCTCAAGTAAATCTAATTTCTGACCTGAAATTAGTTGCCCTGCAGTCCTACGTATATGTGTTGAGTCCCCACCTCTACATACAGAAGGATCAGTTCTATTCTGTTATCCAAAATGCAAATGTAAGTGCAGCTAGGTTCACTGTATGATGCAGTTTTGCCTGAAGTTTTCCAATATGATCCAGCTTGATTTCTTATGATGTGTTAACTATTTCTCAGATCCCAAGTTCAGTTTGATACTTCAGGATAAAACAAGCTCAATTCCCTATGCTAGCATTTTATAGAAAATTTGAGTTTATAGCAAAACTCACAATCTATGTCCACAATTATAAAAGCACCCCACCAGAAATGTGGATACAGTTTTAAAAGTTGCAGAAATGACTTGAGAAACATTATTTAAATACATGAGTAATCATCAGAGCTATGCAATGATTTGGCTGTGACTGAGAAGTTCTTTGAAAGCATGATTGAACACCCATCTGTGACTCACTAAAACAGCCACACTTGGATCTAGGACAAGATAGCTACGGCAGAAGCTCTCCTGCACCAGTTGGGAATCCTGAAAGAGATGTGCCTGTTGTGACTTCCCAGATGAATCCAAAGTGCTGCACAGCTCTAATAACAATATAAATCAGGCTGAAGCTAACTTTTAAAATTAAGATTAAATATAAAATAAATCCCATAGAGTTTATGTTTTCACCATTATATCTTTCACTGTTCTGCCTCCATTTCCTTTTTGTAATGCAGAGCTAGTATACAAAGATTTTTCTGGCCTCAAGCCAAGACTTCATAATCATTGGCATCTCCAGCAAACTAGATGCCAAGGTGTCAACATGCCATGTGTACTTTTTATCTTTATTATTATGCATTGTGTTGTTACATGTTATGAGCCACCAAATCTACTTATGATTGGAGCAGGATATTAATGTGCCTTACAAATGAATAAATAAAACATGAACATAACAATAGATATTCACATATTTTAGATTTATACATATTTACATATTAATATATATATATATATATATTTATGCTGCAATGCCTTAGGCAAACTTACAAGTGGCCACATGTATACAATGACATCTTCACACCACTGTCATTTTTTTCACTTCCTCCTCTCCCCTTCCCCACAAACAGCCCCTGCATAAGTCATTATGATCATATTACCTCATGCATATAGAGAGCATGCAGGCTCATCTCAGTAGAGGCATATTCTGAAAGAATTAGGCTCTGGAGCTGACCTTCCCAAGCACTACTTCCAGAGCTTGCTGTCCTGGCATCCACCCTGCAGCCAAAAGTGAAAGAACGAATCAAGATGTGATGTTGGGGAAAACAGGCCACTGATGTTCAGAAAGACTGTCTCCCCTTCCAATACTCATATGCTAAATAAATCAACCTTTTATCAATCATATGTGTGTGCTTTGCAGCTCTATTCTAGCTGGGTACACAATCATGGCTTATGATTCTACATCATCCAGAATGGGACTGCAAAACACACGTTTGAAATACAAAGCAGTTTTTGTGAAGCCTTGGAGAAGTGACCAACTTTATGCAGCTTCAATCATACAAAAAAAAATCTAGATGGTTCAGGAAGGGACAATTAAAGGCTTAAAAATGTTCAGTTTAGAGGGGGAAATGACATTGCCCTCCCCTCCTCTCTACCAGAAAAAGTATCAAGTAAAATTACTCCTCAGAATATACTCTCAAAGCATCCCAGATAAAATATTGATGAAATGGATGATGTCTAAGAATTTTTCCAGCAGATGCTTACTACACACTATTTCTTACCCCGAGCTTGTCATTATACCATGTCCCCGAAGCTGGGCACCATCAGCATGGGAACTACCATGTATTGTCTGGGTAGACTGAAGAGGGGAGAAGGAACGCAAAGCAGATGCCACCTCAGAGACAGCAGACAGATGCCTTGAAGTCTGTGCATCACGAATTGTCTGGTACCCAAGTGCCGAGGAGCCAGCAATCACGTTGGCAATCAGACTGTGTGGCTGCAGACAGAAGAGAAGAGGGATTTTAATTCTGCAGGAAGGGGATTCTCTCCCCATGTTTGTCACTAGAACTTCACCTTTCCAGTTTTAGCTCTGAACCTGCAGTGGGCAGAGCTGGAATCTCTCACTCTCCCATTCTGGAAGCTAATCCATTCACTTAAACCCAACCCTAGAAGGCACGTAGGATTTTCAGGAAGAGATTAAATCTAGATAGTTGACTCTTTACATAGAGAAAAGGAAAGCAAGAGATTCACAATGAGATTCGATGGGAAACCATTATAGAAATTCTACAAAAGGCACCTGAAATTTGTACGAGAATGTCAGTAACAGAAATAACGTGAGGACTGGGGTTGGCTATTTCTAAAGTATTTGGGACAAGGACTTTGTGATTTTCTGAGAGCCACATGAGGCCATTCAACAATGTCACTAGAAGATATATAGCAAAAATGTTTTATTTTTTTCATGCTTTTGAAAATAGGGTGAAAATCATCTGGAAACAAAAACAAATTGCTATGTTTTTATGCTTAAACTCCTAAAAAAGGGGGGGCAAAATGACAGTGTCAGAATTTGGGAATATTACTGAATTGAGGCTGAATTATTCTGGACTGCTAGAAGATGTTGCAGCTCCTAAATCACCTGATGCTGTTTTAAGAAGTGCAAATGAAAGATGGAATACAAGAAACTCAAAGCAGGGCATGGAAGATTTCAGCCTATACAATGGTTCTCGCAACGAAGGTGGCTTCTTGTGAACTGAGTTAATGCTACTCTGGTGAAAAGAGTGCCAAATGTGTGAGGAAAGCCCTTATGCAGAACTGGTCAAGTCTTCTTAGAATACATGGAAGTGTTTGGGAGCTGTAGTCCACTGGAGCCACTGCACAGAGCAAATGACTATGCATTGTTGGCATTGTTCCTCAGTTCTTCTCAGCCTAACCAAAAAGAACACGATTCTTGGCTTAGATTCCCAAACAGTTCCCCCATTATCAAAGCCCTATAAAGTGGCACCAATTTTCTCCTGAGATGCAGGACATCTCACAAAAGTAGCTTTGCCATTTGTTAGTTCTCATCATTTTCTATGTGGGTACCTCAGATTCAGACTGTAGTGACTGGATAGAGGTGAACAGGGCATTGTCAGGCAAGACAGCCTGCTGGGCCAATGCCAGGCTGCTATCACGGTGCACCCGCTCCTTTAGCAAGCCAATGAAAGCTGTGCTCTCCCGAGGCGGTTGCCAGTGTGGATTGGTGATGGCAAAATGCATGAGGGACAGCTCTGTCTTGCCATCCTCAGCCTGCTGATAAATGGAGGCTTCTGTCTTCCCAGCTGACATCCACTGCAAAACATAATAGAGCAGAGCTCAGAAAAAATATCAGACTTAAATATTCCCGCATCCTTACTTACTTGATTTTTTGCAAGTAAAAAACAACAACAAAGGCTTCTCCTTTGAATCATTATTTGTTCCAATATAAGTATTCCTTTTAAGAAACTACAAACAGGGTACATCTGATTTGTAAATCACATTTCATATTGTGAAAATGAAATTATCAAGTATACTACATGGCTAAAATAGTGATTTGGCTTTTACAGTAATTTAAGGTTACAGTAGGAAAATACTATTTCGTACCTTGATAACTTAGCTGACAGAGTGAAAGCTATTACCATCACATGTGAATTGCATTTTACTATTTGATCTCCTCAGTTCTGTGCTCTATGACTTAAACCACTTTTCAGATATACTTTCATTCAATTAACATCCTACTGAAGAATGCAAAGTAAATGGCCTTTTCTGAATTCCTAATTAATTTCCAATTTTTTTCATTTATGCTGGGACTTACTGCAGGATGCCCATGCTGGCGCACATCCATTTGGGCAAAGGAGCAAGTGTCTCCCACACCCACCACCTCCACTGTAAAGTTGCGGAAGAAGTCGATGATCTCCAAAGCTTTGGGCCTCAGACAGAAAATGAGAATCAAGGGCGTCACAATGGGACTAAGCAGCTCTTCCAGAATGAACACCTTTGATGAACAAAGAAAACAAACCATTAAGAATTAGAAAACACCACAGTGAATATTACCAACATAGCTCAGGATGACAACAGGCAAGACTGCTGTTCCAAATGTTCTATACTTAGACAAGTATATTTCTGGAGATTCCCATATAAACATCTTGTTTATAACTAATAACTTATCAGGACTACTCTTGATTGACAGTGGCCTCCCACCCTCTAACCCCATGATGGCGAAACTATGGCATGCAGAGCCTGCAGGCTTGTGAGCGATCATCCCAGCTCTGCTCCATTGCGCATGTGCACACACCTCCCACCAGCCAGCTGGTTTCCGGGTCTCTGCTGCGCATGTGCGGGGATCACGTGCACAGGGGGGTTATATGCACGGGTCACATGTGCACATGCAAGGTGCATGTGGGGGGGTCATGTGTGCATGTGTGGGCCACGCAGGGGGGTGCATTGCATTATGGGAGCGCACACACACTTTTGGCACACGATGACAAAAAGGTTAGCCATCACTGCTCTAAACTATCCTATCTTACCGCCTTGTACTGGAAGAGTTGAGCGAATTCATCTCTGGTTTCATAACGATGGGCATTTCCTTGCCAGTGGTCAGGCATGTAATGAATGTGTGCCAGAATCACTCGAAGCAGCTGTTCTGGGCAGAAAACCAGGTGTTGGTCGGGAATGAAGGACCTGCAGGGACAGATAGGGTGCGCAAGTCACATAAACTGGAGCCAAGGAGCTCTGCATCCCTTGAGAAGCAGC